TCAATTATATTTTAAAAATAGGTAATTTAGGTTTTTTAATAAAAATTTATTAAAATACATAATTTTAAGATTTTTTTTTTTACTTTTTAAAGATATGATTAATAAATATTTTTTTGATTATGTATGAGTACTTGTAAAGAGTTAGATGTAGAAAAATTTGTGTAGGCAAGGTAATTTCACAAAAATTATTTTAAGGAAAATAGTTTCTATCTCTACAAAGCAACATTACCCCAAAATACAATACCTATTATATTAAATTTTAATCACCCAAAAGCCAGGATACTTAGAAAGCAACAAAATGCGAGGAAAGAAAGGAGGAGGAAACAGAATGCTTCATAAATCATCCCCTCGTGGGGCTGCATTATATTTATTTTTCCAGTCCCCTGGTGCCTTTTGCAACTAATACACATGAAGGCCAACCGGTGTCTTTGGCACCAGTTCAAAGAGATACATTTCTATGAAGAATTGCTACTCACGCCTTTTGGTTTTGAAGCCTTTTGAAACGATTTCTCCTGCTCTGGCATTCCGTTTTTAAACCTTTTTTTTTTTACTTTAATGACCCGTGCTCATACCAATATATAATATATATTATATCATACGGATATATAGAATATAATGTTTTCTTATCAACTAAATAAAATTTTTATTAATATAAAATATAAGGACTACTAGAACTCATATTTACAATAATTTTATTATTCTTATCAGAATCCCACTCATCTTTTACAAAAAAATCCCACTCACTTTTTATATGTATATAGAACATAATATAAATGCATAACTAAGTATAGGTTAACATCATAATTTATAACAATATTTTTTTTCTATTATTATTAAAAAATGCTATATACATTAATATATGCGACATTTTCCCTAATTATATACTCTAGAAATTATTATTTATTTTAAGGGAAAAGTGTTTTGTAAAAAAAAAATTTGGAAAATATCTTTAAAAATAATATATTTTAATTAATATTTTTAAATATTAACTATTAAATAAAAAGTTATAGTTATGTAAATAAATCATACATATTAATTTTTAAATTAATTTAATATGCTATACATTACTAGTTCGTTGATTATATAAAATTTAACAGGAATAAATATACATGAATATAAAGCGTTATCTATAAAAGAGTTACAGAATATTATATTAATTTAAAAATTAACAAACATAATTTATATAAATAAAATAAAAATTAATTATGGTGAGTTTTTAAGTGAGTTCTCCAAAAAAATGAAAACATCCTGCGGTACACAAATCTTTTATTATGATTTCTTCAACTTTTTTAATTGAGCTTGAACCTTCTTGAGGTTTTTTAAAGGACCCAATATTTATTTAAGATTTTAAGGGGATTTAATATAGTAAGACGTACTGACAAATCAATAAACTGGTATTGATAACGAATTATTCTGAGATCAACATCATGCAATCTTAATACATAACTTTCATCTACCATTAATCCCAAACTATTTTCTAGACAAACACAAGGTTCTTATATTCGTTCTTCTATATGTGGCCTAAACCAGTCGGCCATTTCATCATCAGTGGATTCAAGCAATTCCAACTTTCTCTGACTTTTGGGATATCTAGATTCATCATTTTCTCTTGTCATTCCAGGAGTTTTACTCCTCCCTGACATTTCCAACTTCCACTTTTCCTTCATTTCTGGGTTCCGCGATAGATAACTCTTACCTCCAGCAATTGGAAAATCAATGGACTTAATATCGTCATCTGATGACATCAAGTAATTGTGGTCTCTATTCTCTTCATGTACAAATCTCCACTTATCTGCACCTGTGATCCGCTTATTTTCATATTCAACCTCAATTCCACTACCAAAACGTGCAGATCTACCTTGGCTAATACAGCCTCCCTTGTTCCCCTGGTCTGTTGTGGTTGATGTGTTTGAAGCATTTGATGCCTTTGGTCGTTTATGATCACATTTCAAACACACCATGTTGCGTCTGAAATTAATATAGTTGCACCTGTACATTTAATAGATTTGATTGTAAGTATCAGAAGCTAAAAGAGAAAAAGTTATATATTCTTTCCAAAATTTTAGGGAGAAACTAGAAACAGGATAGAACTTACGATTCACATTCCCATTCCCCTGGATTGAGTGGCCGCTTTGGAGGCTTCTCTTTGCATTGCAGACATCTTGTGTTCTTTGCAAAATTCAGGAAGTTGCATCTGTTTAAAATAGAAGTCCGTGAGAAAGCTGCCAACAGATTAAAAAGTCTACATAATCTAAACATTCATTACTTGTCGCATATCCAGTCTCCCTTTTTCAATGGCAAATGATCCTGATCCTCATGTAGTTGCTTCAGTCTTTCTTGGAATAAGCCATCACAACGCAAGCACTTGATATTTCTGGCAAAGTTTAGGAAGTCGCATCTACCAAATGGAAAGTAAACCACAGAACGTTTCAGATAAAATATGAGATTCAGAAATTCAAATCATTTTAAGTGAAAAACTGTCAAATTACTTGGGACAACGCCAATCTCCCTGCTTCATTGGAACTTTTATGTGGCCTCCCGTACTTAAATGATCTTGAACCGATGTGTTAATTCTTAAGGATGCCGCATTGGGAAGAACTGTTTCTGCTTCCTCTGCACAAGAATTGACCATTTCTTTTAGCAGTCTTCTTACAGATTCTTTAACTATTTTGTTTTGACAAGGCTTGTTCTCCACTGAACCAGTTATAGGGTCAAGACCATACGTCAGTAAAATACGCATGACATCTACAGTCCTTCCGCCTTCCTCTTCACGTGCCCTGACAAATGCTCTCTCACAATTTCCTCTCAAATTGCAGGAGCTGCAAACCTATCAAATAGTATATTCAATCTGATGAATTCCTCTAACTCTGCCAGCAAAGGGTTGGAACTGCAACCAATAATTAAGCACAAAAAGCTTACTGCATACATTTCCTTCATCAATGCCCACATGTGCCCTTAAGCGCTTCCCTGAATTAACGACTTTCCTATCTATGCTTGGGCATCCACATCCTGCAATTACCTGGATATCTTTTCTTGAGAAATTCCTGCAAAGCAAAGGCGTTCAGTAAACATAAGTTCTGAATACCCGAAAGGTTTTAATCATTTCTTAGCAATACAACTTATCAGGTTTTAAACACTCGGAAGAAGAGAATAAAGATATAAACGTATGTACATTAGAACAGAGAGGGAAAATGATCGAACAGGTGCTATGCACACAAAACAATTCTAAAAATCAATGCAATTTCCATCTAAACCATAACTCACGAGCAAGAACAGACGACCACTAAGACAACAGAAGCACCCAAATCAAATTAAAAAGACAAACTACAAAAATTCCATATCGTCAACTTAATCAAATCCTTCCCTTCAAATAGAAGCTCTCTATTACCTCACAAGACTGTACTGATCCCTTGCAAAATTAAGGCATGCAGTTCGGATTACATTCGCTTCCTTAACACCCAAATTAATGTTTTCAAAAGGGTTCTCATCAGCGAAGTATCCTCTCTTCAACAAGCCTTCCATTAGATCGACCCACTCGGGCCAGGGATGCGAAATCTGGATTGATGATCCATTCTGCCGTAAGGGTCCAATTTGATCAAACGTTCCATCCGCATTTGCCGATGATTGGGTGTTTCGGCACATGGGTTTAGAAGACTGAAGCTCCTCAACCCCATTGACAATGAAGCGCAGTCTCGAATTGGGATCGAAACTTTCGTTACCGCTGTGGAGATGTGAAAGAGGTATGAGAGTTTTAGGGGTTCTGAAATGGGTTCTGAGGGTCCAGAAGAGATATCCATAGCTGGATTTGAAGAGCTTATACATTCCAGAAAAGTTATCTGGGGTAGGGAAATCCCCGCCGTTAACAATATTTGAGTCTGTGTGTTTCTCAAGCATCAACAAGAGACGAGACTTATAAAAGGTGTATTAAAAAAATGGGTTTGAACTTTGAAGGAACGCAGATGTTGGTTTCACGTAAAGGAATTCAGATTTCTATTTAAAAAAAAAAAAAAATGAGACAATGAGATAAAAAAAGAAAACAAATATAACAAATAAGAACGCTTAGAAATATGCTTTTATTCTTCCATTTCACTGTGGGTACGTTTTGGTTGAAAGAAAATCATTTTTGAAAAATATTTTCTACATTTTCTTGTGTTTGATAGGCATTAGGAAAATGAATCAATAGAAAACATCTTAATATCATTTTGTATAATAAAGGTCTATATATAGGTCAAGAGAAAATGAGAGATACATTGGCCATTCAACATTATTAAATGGAGTTATGAATGGCACTTTAGCAAAAATATGAATAGCACCTAAATGGTGCTATAAATGGCACTAAAGTGGAGTTGTAAGCAAAGTAGAGCTTTGAAAACTAAGTGAAAATGAGTTATAACATATAAGACGATGAAACTGAAGCTGAAAGTAAGATATCCACCAATAAAAGAATTTATAATAAAAATTAAATTTTTTTATTTTTTATTTCTTGCTTCAAAATATTTTTATATTTTAGTGGAGGTATGAATAGCACCTAAATGGAGCTATAGATGGCATCTAAGTGGAGCTATAAATGGCTCTAAGCAAAGTAGAGCTTTGAATTGAGTTTAGTGGAAATGAGTTATGACATAGAAGAAGATGAAAGTGAAGGTGAAGGTGAAGGTGAAGGTGAAGGTGAAATATCCATTAATAAAAGAATTCATAATAATATTTTCTTTTTAATAAAATAGGAATTCAATTTATATAATAATTAGGAGAGGATTTAATTTAACAAGCAATTCAATTTTAAATTCACAATATTTTAATGTATCTATCTCAACAATGCATTTAGAAGTTGGTAAATAAAAATAATGTAATTAAAAATATATGCATTTTAAATTCATTTTTTAATCCAATCAAAGCAATGTATTTCAATAACAAAATAAATGAATTTAGCTGGCCAAAAGAGAAAATGTATACACTCCCTAATTATAAATATGCATTCCCAAAGCAACCTTAAAATTATAGCAAACCGTTCATACTCTCTACCACAGACGCTTCCCGCTAAGTTTGATATGCACTATTTTGGACCTTTGCTACAAGATACCCTACATATGGCGTCTGGTTTGTGTTTTGGGAGAGCCCAACATACTAAGTTGATACGATTCTGGATATCAATGTGCAAAATGCCTTTTCATAAATTTCATGCATCCTTCCTTTTATTATTATTATTATTTTTTATGAACTATACAATAAAGAGTCTAATAATGAGCTACACCATAAGCATGTCAGTTACCTTCCCGTCCCAAATCCATTTTCCACCCATTCTAATATTCCAGTCTGTACCTTCATCATGAACGGTCGAGCTCTTGACCATTAGACCATAAAAATGTCGCATGTCCAATAGTAGTGTCATTATCAAAACTCTATTGTCCTAGAGCCAATGTGAAAAAAGATGTTTATGCCTCTGATTTAACAGCTTTACAACCGAAGGCTTTTATTAACTAAACGTACTGAACTTCATATTTCCACAAATGAGTCTCTAAAGTTCGTCAATCACATGTTTGTTTGACTTGTAATATTTGATGATGATAATAGCTCGCACAACATGAAACCAGCATCTATGGACCATTTAAGATTACGAATGAATGACACATTGCTTACAACTTGTAGATCTACTACTAGTTTTAGATTCTCTGATCAAGCACTGGCATATAACCAAGTCTGGAATTTTGACACTAATGCACTAACAGGGTACAGGGACAAGGATGCAGTGAACTCAAGAAAACATGGCTTTCAATCCAACAGTAAATTTCAGATATTTCTAATAGAGTACAAACAAAAATAACATCGATAAGCGGTGAATGAATAAGAAGGACAAATTTCTTTTAGTCTTCAACCTGAAGATGGAGGTGGCGGGGGAACCATTACCATCTGTGGCATAGAGGGTCTTCCAGCCATTTGTTGTGGTGGAGGGGGCCAGACAGGTGTTTGACCTCCCATTCCCATTTGTTGTGGGAGAGGCCTTGTCATCATGGAAGCAGCATATGGAGGGGGAGGTGGCTGAGGTTGTCTGAACTGCATGGGGGGTGGAGGCATGACTGGGGGTGGAACTGTTTGACCTGGTTGTTGCCAAGTTGCTTGTCCAGCAACTGGAATGGTTGGGAAAGCTGCAGCTTGTGGGGGCGGAGGACGAACTGCTGTGACTGGGCCAGGAGCAACAGGAACATTAGCAAAGGGCCGTGGAGGCACTGGCGCACCTAAAGTACCATTGGCCTGAGGGCCACTGGGAAGTGTTGGAGGCCCGCTCGCAAACAATGTGTGAGGCCTGCTCTTCTGCACATTTGGATTGCTTGCAGCCAGAACTCTCTCTGTACCATAAGAGTCACAAATGAACCAAATATCTTCAATACTGGAGGATTGCCCCTCATGCAAACACAACTCAGTGCAACAATTTTTTCTATCAGCCAAGAACTCAATGCCATATATAATAAGCAAGTGCCCAAAAAAAAAAAAAGAGAAAAAAGAAAGAAAGAAAGAAAGAAGAAAAAGGATCGGCTTCAGCAAGAATCAAAGCATTTCTCTTTCCAGTTCATTTTCTTCCATTTCAAGAATGGATCTATTTCTTTCATATGGTCATGATCCATTCAATTTTGTTGGGAATTTTGTTTACATTAAAGACAGAACAAAATGGAAAAGTTTTCTTGGACTTTTTTCTAATTAGCAAGGAAAATTTCCCTTGGATTAATTACTTAGGATTGCTTCAAAGAATCAAAGTTTTGAAAGTATTTAAAATCTCCCAATTCTCTTTATCAAGATATATTATGTGCTGCTGTTGCACATCTCTTGTGATGAAAGATGTCTCCTCTTTCTATTTTTCTCTATACTTCACTCTCTACATAGATTGAAGCCTTCTGTATTGTGTATTTCAATTTAATTTGCAGAAGATACAAGTAGGATGAGGCTCTTGGAAGCAGTGCCACAGGGTTAAATGGGACAAGAATTACCAGGGTATGAACCCGAAGTTTTAGAGCATTAGAATTACCACTGCTAAAAGAATGATTTTCAAATTGTTTGAAACAAGGGCATTTAGGATATTTTACTTCAGTTTCCATTTGTAATGGTGACATTAGTTTCCTGTGACTACTGGTCAAACTGTTACATTTCAGGAGGTAAAGTGTATATTTTTTAAACTTCTATACCAGACTCTTTTCCACCAAACCTTGGGAGGTGGATAGTGGATACTAAATTTTCCTGACAAAATGTGTCAAAAACTTCAAAAACCCATTGGCATTGAAATAATAAGAACAGACAAGAAAAATAAAAAGATAAATAGAGAGAGAGAGAGAAAAATAAACCCATTGGCATCGAAATCCTTACCTGCTGGGGTACCATGGCGCTCCCCTTTAGTGTCTTTTTTATAAGCATAGGATACTGTTATCTGGCGATTACAAAGGTATTGACCATTCATTGCCTGTAACAACCAAAAGAAAAATAATATTCAACCATAATGGATAAAAGCAATTGGGATATTGAACCAAAAAAAGAAGCAGGAATTACAAACTACTCAACAATCTGCTACATCCAATTTGTAGCCTGCTGGCCATCGTGTCAACATGAGAAAATTTTATGTAAAAGATACTAATTAGTTGCTCTTAAATAGAAGTACAGAATAAATTCTAGGGACAAAAGTTAAAAAAAAATTCACTAACCTAGTATCAACTACTTAATTAAATTGATAACGTTCAATTGAACCACTGACCAAAACTTTTGTTCCAATGTGACAATTAACTCTTTTTTTCTCGTGTTCTTGCTGCAATGTGTCACCATTCTCCAGAAATATATAGTGTGGCTTTATTAATTTTTTTTTTGGTACATCTAATGGTAGGCTATACAAAAGGGGATAACCCTCCCCGTTTTCCCAAATTCCTCCCCACCCAACTCAAGGTTTAAACCTGATATCTCCAACTTGGAATCTCAAACTGTTAACCAGTTGAGTCATCCCCTTAGGGGCTATAGTGTGGCTTTATAATCCAACTATCTAAGTTCTAATTTTTTTAGCAAAAGATGTTTTGAACTCAGAAGAAAAGACAGAAGAGGGGATAAGAGAAAAAAGGAGGAAACACAACTAGCAAACAGTGTCTCCAGGGAGGGGATTTGAAGTTAGAGGCTGCTTGGGTGTCATATCTGGGGCAAAGTACTCAAACTGGTATCACCAGCTGCAGTTCCATGAGCAAGTGTGAAAATTATGGAGACAAATGGGTCAGAGAGAGAGAGAGAGAGAGAGAGATTGCTTTCTGGCTAGAGGTTGGAACCAATCCAGTGTTTCCCTTTCCTTTCTCAACACTCCCCTCAATCCAAACATTATGTCAACTTTAAATCTCAGTTAACTTTACATGAAAGTTGAAACTGATCCGAGACTACCCTGCAAACTGCAAAGTGCAAAGTGGAAAGTGCGAAGTGCAAACTAATATCAAGCTCTTACCTAAATTTTAAGAATGTTGAAAGGGACATACCTCAATAGCTGCATCAGATGCCTCAAAAGAATCATAACTAATGAAACCAAAACCACGAGAATTTCCAGTCTCAGGATCTCTCATTATCTGGGACAAATAGTTCAATAATTAGAATTTGGAATCAAAGACTACAACCTAATTAGACAAAGGAACAACACACAAGATTTAGAAAAATATATTGCTTCTTTAGAACCTATAACATTGGTTAAACGTAGAATGATAAAAACTACTTCCAAATTTAAGTGTGTCTGGATCCACCACAAATGCTCTGATTCACTTTAGTGTTGATAATAGCTTCTTTAGAAACTATAACAATTGGCTAAATGTAGAATGAAGAAAACTACTTTAAATCTCAGTGTCTGAATCCATAACAAAAGCTCTGATTCCTTGTAGTGTTGATAAAATCAGTTCTCTTTAAAAATAAATAAATAAATAACACACAGGAGGAATTTAGGCAAGCTGATTTAAAGATGAAGGTTTAATCATAGCCTCAACAAAATGACATAGTATTCAAAATTTCAAATCACTCCATCTACCCAACAAGGGAATCAAGAGTAGAAATTTCTCATTTTATGATTTGGAAAAACAGATTGCAAGGATGCCTGTCCCACAACTTAGTGAACAACAACCCAGAAATTTAGGTCTATTTTGACAAGGTTCACAATCTAATATATAGGCAACACATAAGTCCTTTGCATCTACCTTCTAGTTTTGAGTAAATGGTATAGACAGAATGCCACAGAAGTGTTTCAATAAGGATATTGACTGCTATTTCATAACTGCTTAAAAAAAATTTTCTAGAAAAACTACCCAGATGAGCAGAGTCCCAATCCCATGTATCAACAGCCATAAGTGTTAGTTTTTACCATTCTTTCTCCCTTTGACCACAACAAAGCCACCATTAGTCAAAGGCCACCATGTCAAAGATTTATTGGTTGGATTAAGAACCCAAAAAAGAGAGGAAAAAGTAAGCTATTTGAGTTCCTTCTTTGCTAATATTGAGGATTCACAGGTCCTGTTTTGATTTCATAAATTTCAAACAGTTGGATATAATGATAATATAGTTAATTAGCGTTCAACCACACTCTCCAACACCCCCTTCTCCCCAAAAGTTATATGTATAAAGAGGCAGAAATGAGGCTTAAGCCAGCCCAAGAGATAGGTAGCACAAATAAATTACAGAATAACTCAACTCAAGAAGTAACATCAGGCATACAAACAGCATTGACAATAGACAACTGAAACTAACAAATGAAGACTAGCAGAAACAAACTTTGCGGAGACAAGAGATCTAGTCAACTAAAAAAATAATATCATGTAAATCAAATGAAGAGATCACAAATTTGAAAGGCATTACCTTAGGATTTGCAACAATGACTCCAAAAGCACTGAAAGTATCATACAAAAGTTTCTCATCCACATCCTGGAAATTTACCCCATTAATTGCACGGCTAAAACAGATAAACAGGTCTAAACTTTCAGTAAAGTAGAACTTCTTACAGGATCAAGATTCCCAATAAAAAGGTTTGCTCCCACATCCAAGCTCTTTTTATCTTGCGATGCCTGAAAGTAATTAAGGTCAAAACCATAAAATCCAACAGAATAACTGTTTTAACAATAAATGTAAACTGGTTCCAGTGGTTAGCATATGAAAAATATAAGAAAAACAGCTACCTATATTTACATTTCATACCTTATTGACACGAATTGGCTTCCCATAAAGCTTAATCATATTCAGTACCTTAATCGCCTGAACATTCAACCAAATTGAAATTAATCAATGGTGAGTGAAACCCTAGACAAACGCAACTCAGGTAAAGCAAAACAAAATAGAAAAAGAGCACAGTTTGAGAAATTCACATAATCAGCATCTTCTTCACTTCTGAATTCTACGAATCCATATCCCTGATGAAGATTGGTCACTCTATCCTTTGGGACATAGACATTAACTGAAACAGGAGAAGCATAAGCATTTGTAAGACTCCTTTATTAAACAAAATGCAATCCCAACGTAAACCCAATTGAAAATAGGAGAAACTCACCAACAGGACCCGCTTGAACAAACAGCTCCCACAATAACTCCTCCGTAACCTGCGAGCAGAAGATTCAGCCAAGAAAAACGAAACCCTAAGAAAGTTCGGGGAAAAGGTGGGGGAGGCTAACCTGAGGATCAAGATTGCCGACATAAGCAGTAGCATCTTGATTCCTCTCCGCCGAATGCTGGCCCAGCAAATTCGCTCCGACTCCGGGAGCAATTCGCGTTGTCATACCTCTTTAAATATAGATAATATCTAATACCTTGTCCAAATAATAACTCTTTTTGCTCTATAATTCTCCGCAACTCTCAGCCCCTCGATCTTTCTGAGCTTCTCTTCCTGCCAGCGAACTGGCCTCGCCCTCGCAGTCACCTTCAAAATAACAGAGGCAAGTTGGGCTAGGTTTAAAAAAGGAATAATTATCGAGCCCAGACAATGGTTTTTCTTTCTCAATATTCAATTTAAACAACGCAACGTTCCGCGGCGTGGTCGTAATTAATAATTTTTAGGGTTAAAGCCATTCTTGTCCCTCTATTTTGTGAAAAAGTTCAATTTAACCCTTCTACTATATAATCACCTCAAGTCATCCCTCTACCTCATTTTGAGCTCACATGTCCTCTCTTTACTATTCAAAAGGTGATTTCGTCCCTCCATCCATTTTGGCTAACACCGTCACTTTTACCGTTAACACCTAATGGTTTGGGCCGTTTGGCGTTTAACATATAATTCTATATTATTAATTTTTTTTTATCTAATTTAGTTATAATAAGGTCCACTAATGCCACATCATATTCCATATTAATATTTTTCTACAGGAAAATTTTACCAACTTTTTCTTTTCCAGTTATTAGCCACGTTAATTTATCTCTTTCTATCAATTTTTTTAATTGAGCCAATTAAAGGAAGATTTTTCAAAATTATGAAGGTAATCAAGTAAATTTATTTTTTTTAAAAAAAATAAACAAAAAATTTTGAATTTTATTAAGGTTCAAAAAAATTATAACTAGAACAATAAAATTTTATAATGCATATTACTATTTTTTTAACTGTAAACTTTGGATAGTCTAAAGTGAACTCACAATCTACAATTCTATTCATGTGTATAAATAGGTTAAGCAAGTATATGGGTGAAGTATTTGTTTATATTTATATTTAATTTAAAATTTAATAGATATAAAATTTTGATACTTAATACTTATTTAAATATTAAAAATCTATTCCTATTATTTAACTCATTGATATATAGGTTGTATATTTGCAAATATACTTATATATTTGTTAAATGTTATAATCTTTTAATATAAATTAAAATACAATTAAATCTATTGTAAAACATATATTTTAGTTCATACATAATATACAAATATAAGTTTCTTTGAAGGTTTAGTCCAATATGAGAGGTGTACTTTTAAAATAGCTGTTAAAAAATATACTTTTTTTAAACTATAAAAAATTATTATTATTTTAAGACAAATTCAAAAAATATTTGTCTCCTAAAATAAATGAATAAAAGTTGACATGTATAAAATAAAGCACTACATCCTTAATTAGTACCTTTTACTTCCTTTTGTGTTTGTATTCCAACTTAATTATATATTTTATTATAAGTATAAAGTCATATTTTTTTATGTACATATATTATTTTTTGATATTTATAATTAAAATGTTTTCAAACTAGATTTTTTGCATTTTCAAACTAATTCTTATTTGAGTTATTTTAAAAGCACACCTCTCACATTAAATTAATGTATTCAAAAAAACTTATGCTTATATATTATATACGAAGTAAAGCATATGTTATGCAATATGTTTAATTATATTTTAATTTGTGCTAGAAGGTTATAATATTTAACAAATATATAAGTACATCTACAAGTATATATATACTCAACAGGTTAAATAGTAATAATAATAAACTTTCAATACCTGAATAGATATTGAGTATTAAAGTTTTATATCTATTAATTTTTAAATTAAATAAAATATAGATAAATATTTCACTCATGTACTCGGTTAGCCTACTTATGTACATAAACACAATCGCAAATTGTAAACTCACTTTAAACCAATCAAAGTTCACAATTAAAGGGATAGTAATAGGCATTATGATTTTTTTTTTAATTGTAATTTTTTAAACCTTAATAAAATTCAAAAAATTTTATCTATTTCTTTTTTAAAAAATTAAATTTACTTGATTAGTCGCTATAATTTTGAGAAATATACCTTTAATTGAATCAACTAAAAAATTAATCAAAAGAAATAAATAAATGTGGGTAATAATTGAAAAAAAAGTTGGTAAAATATTCATGTAAAATGACATTAATATAGAGTATGATGTGGTATTAGTAGGTCCTATCATAACCAAATTGAAGAAAAGTGACGGTGTTAGCCAAACCGTTAGGCTTTAGCTATAAAAAGTGACGGTGTTAGCCATGGAATGGAAGGAGGGACAAAATTGATCACTTTTTGAATAGTAGAGGGACGGCATGTGAGCTCAAACTGAAGTAGAGGGACGACTAGAGGTTATTTCATAGTAGAAGGGTTACATTGAACTTTTTCACAATATAGAGGGATGATAGTTGGCTTTAACCCTAATTTTTATCTATATTTTGCTTGCATATTATCTTAAGTTTAAGATGATTTGCATGTATTTTAAATTGATAATAAATCAATATTAATATATTATAATCCTAATGTGGTCTTAGAATAATAAATATTTTTTACAAACATTTTTTATACTAAACATTTTGATATTTGAATATTATATTAAGTTTTGACTAAACTTATTAGGGAGAAACTTTTTTTAATACCAGTCACTTCTTACATAAAACTTGAATCTGAAATTTTATTTAAGAGAAATCAAACTTATTCACTTAAATTAGTAAGTTATCATTCGTTTTTTAATTTAAGATTTTGACCTAAAATAATATTTGTTTTTTATATTTTAAGGAATACAAAATTTTCTTTTATTTTAATCTTATCATTATCTCTTTATTTTAATTATGCATGCTATTGTGATTTAAATCTTATTTTTTTATTTCCATTTAAAGGATAATATAAGTAAAAATAAAAATTATCTCTAAATTCTTAATCTAAAGATAGAATAAAATTTTTTTTATTATTCTAAGATAAAATGAGTACTAAGTTTTTATCAGAAATGTTTGAAAAGAAATTATTATTATTTTAAAATAAAAGTTTTAAAGAATATGTAATAAAATGTATTAAATTATTATTATAATTTGTTAAATATTATTAGGGGTGTGCTGATGATGTGGATTGGTGAGTCAGCGATGGTAATGATGTGGAAGCTGACTAGGATGACACTCGAGAAAGGTGAGGATGCTTCTTTTGGCGGTACCCGTTTCATGTATAAAATGCTGTATGCCACAAGCCGTTTCAATTTGCCTAGCAATACAGTTGATACTGAACTCCCTAGCCAAGTTCGATGATGCAATTTCTCTGGCCAAGCTGTGAAAAGAAAAAGGAGGGCTAGACGATGGCAGTAAGATACTTGTGGTCGAGAATGATTACACAACTATCAAAAGTAGGTAGTGGAGAAGTGCATTATGGTAGGAGCACTAAAAATAAAACATCTTTTGGAGTTTGAATATCATAACTTAAGGGGTGCATTTACACGTATACAATCATGACATCAAAATAATGACAATGGATATGCCCTCTACAGTCCTTGGTAAATATCCCTACTTCTTATTGGACGATCCTCATGATTACAAAACACAAAAATTTTTCCTTTTGAAACTCTTCTCAAAGGCTAAACTTGAGAGTGGTGATGAGAGAAGGAAGAATGACCGTTTAGGGGCTTGCAAGAAGGTGACCTAATTCCATTCTAATGCTGACTTCTCAACTTGATCGTTTGATGCTCAAGAAGGTAGCCTAGGAACAAGAGCTGTGTTGTGCCATTTTCCAGCCATGATATGCTGTGAATCTGGAGGTGTTTGGCGATATTGGAGATCTAGAAAGTCTGAAGTTGAAAAATGATTCTAGAGTCATTGGGCGTGAGTGTGATTTTGAGATAAGGATGAAAGGGCTGCCATGTGGGAGATCAAGGTCTGGATGTTCAGAGAAGGAAGATAGAGTTATTTTCTCTCCAAAAATCTCACCATTGTCTCTCTTTTGAAGGGAAAATAATAATATATATGTGCAGTGGCATTTTCATAATTTCTAGGTTGACAGGTTAAGAGTGTATAATGACCTAATGGATAGGTTTAGGTGAGTTTTCAAGCTTTAAGTGATTTTGGACACTGTTGCTAGCTTTCTAATAGGGATATCATGAATTGCCCAATGATTCTGGCGAAGCACCATTAATTATAGTGAAGCACCACTGGTCCTAACGAGGTACCTCTGATTTGTTGAAGATTGCTCTTTTTGGTAACTATCCAACCACGCGAAACTCTTTTTTTTAGAAAACTACTTGAGTGTTGCTGGCAAAACAACATCTGCATAGGATCTTGGTAAAGTTCCCAAGGTTGATGCAGGATTACTAGAAGATTCTTAAGCGAACAATAATCTTTCCCAATACTTTCCAACACAACATAATTTGTACAGCCACCTTTGCATTAAATATGGCAGATGACTATTGATGGGGACTAAGATGGCATGTTCAGTTGATTTCTGACAGGATTTCAAGCTCTTGGTTAACATCAAAAGGCACTGTTCCAAGAATTAGGTTCACTCTCATATCTTCGCCACTTGGCCCCTCTTAGCAAAGTGAGGCAACATCGTCAGTGCCAAGCTTCATTGGCACAAATACCCTACTTCGCCAAATGGGGAATGTTTACCCATCCATGCCTACCAAGCCACTACTCTCAAAGTTTGTCTTGAAAATTTCATATGAGCTTGGATTCATGGGTTTATGCACACCTACAGCGAAGGCAAAATATTAGTGAATATTTGTTTCAAATATAAGATATATGAATGTGTTTAGTGAAGAAGGGTATTCCCTTATGTATGGAGGAAGATAACGAAGATGACCATAGCTACACTCCTTTGTTCAATGGTCACGGTGAACATTTGTATACTATTATCACACATGGCTAGCATTGCACCAAGATGAAGGATGAGTAATATTGTTGTGTCTTGTGATATTGTTGTCTCTAGATAAGTATTGCTGGTCAGCGTTACCTACAAACACATGGAATATGGAAGGAGTATGTTGCGAGTAAGGATTACCAACGACTGGTAATTTTGTCCCTTTGTATAAAAGGATAATAATGTGCATGATTACTAGCCATGCCATATGAATGTCGTAAGGTTGGCCATGAATGGCTTTTCCATAGCCAGAGGGACAATAGTGGCTAGTTTTGTTCATGATTGGAGCATGAACTATGTGGAATCAAAGGAGCATTCCCACTAACTTGCCAAGTTGCGAAGGGGTAAATCTCATTAAA